AGGGGAGAGGGAGAGAGGGAAGGGGGTGTGAGCGATTCTAAGATCAGGTCTGCCACCTCCCCACTGAAAACGAAAATCGCGGCTGGAGCGCGGTAGAGGCGGTCCTCGAGGCTGCCGCCGCGGCAGAGGGGGTAGACGAGGCACGCTCTCGCCGGCGCCAAGCAGACGCTGAGCAGAGGGAGCAGGGACCGGTGGCACGCCGCGCTGAGCGTGCGCACCTCGCTCTGCAGCTCGGCGAGGCCTTGGGCGCCGACACCGACCAGCGCCCTCTTGACCGCGAACCCGCTCGCGACGCGCGGGAGCGACGGCAGCGCGTCGCAGCGGTAGACCCGCCCAAAGCCTCCCTCGCCCACCTTGCGCGCCTCGGCAAAGCCGTCGGTCGCCGAGGTAAGCTCGTCGAGAGGGACGGCGGCGGGCGGCGCGGCGGCGGCGGGCGGCGCGGCGGCGGCGGCGAGAGCGGCGACGCTCGCACTCTCCGCCGCCTCGGGGGTAGACAGCGCCCCCAAATCCACCACTCTGGGATTTCGCGCAATCGCTTGACTCTGAAAAGCTCGCATGTACCTCCTGCAAGCGCTGTGGTCGCCGCAGACTGGCTCCGACTTGACGGCAGCATGGAGACGTGATGCCTCCATGCTGCCGTCAAGTCGAAATCGACATGCGAGTCGATCTTTGGCTCGCCAGAGGTACATGCGGCGTTTCGGGCGACAACAGCGCTGCGACCGCGAAGTGGCGGTGGACATGCTCCCATGTTGCCGACGCGGCGCCGGAGTGGCCGTCGCTGCTCGCCACGACCATGCCTCAATCCTGAATCCTCAGATTTTAGATTAGGACGCTGTCTACCCTCTACAGGCCAAAGGCCATCTTCCGTCTTCCCTCCATCACTTAGGGGACCCCTAGGGTTCTGAGGGCGGGATTTGTTAAGACCTTTTAAGAAACGAGGAGGTTTGGGGGCTTAACTTGCCGTTTAAGAGATTGCAGGCACGGGGGGTCCCTCTTTTAAGACCGTTTAAGAAAATCGGCCTCGCCGGCACGCGTCGCTGGGTTCCGCGCCGTTTTCTCCAATACTGCCGTTGTTAGGCACAAACCCGCCTCTGAAGACACATCTGTAAGTCTGGTGCACTGGCAGGAGCCATACTCGCATAGGGGACGCGTGCTAGCTGACTGTAGCCGGCTTCCCGGCCTCCGGCGTGTCTACCGGGAGCCTCCCGGACCATCGACCTCGGGAGCTCTCCCGCACCGTTTAAGCGTTTAAGACCGTTTAAGGAATTGGCGGCCCAGCAGCTCTTAAAACTTGCCATGGCAAGTTTTAAGCCGTTTAAGCCGCAGGCGCCCCAGGGCCCACCCTTTTAAGCCTAGCTAGGGGTCCCCTAAGCTCCATCATCTCCAAACCCAGATTCCATCAACTAGAGACGCCGTCGGTTTTCCTACCAGGGGCTCTAGCGTGGCTAGTGGGTCGTGCGCACGAAGCACGATTGGTCAGAGAGACAGTTACAGTACGCACACACATGCGCGCCCGGTCGCCCCACGATCCTGATCCACGCACACATAAAAGCCGTGTATAGAGTCTATCTCTTTCGTGGGGAGGCGAGGGCACAACACATTATTGTGTGAGATAGAGACTTTGGCTCGACTTTGGCGAGCAAGGCCAAGGACACGCTACGCGGCGCTACGCAACGCATGCCAAAAGCCAGCGACTGGACAGCGGGTGCGCAGAGTGACACACCTCTCCGAGGATACGGGTGGTCTAAAGACGGTGGGCTTCGTGGGTGAAGTCGCCGGCCTCTCAATTCCGCTCGAGCTGAACGAGCTCGAGTACCTGGGAGCAGAGATCAGAATCGCGGGTAATCTCAGGCCATCTCGAGGAATCTCGAGGGAGGTTGGAGGTATGCACATCTCCACACGCAAGTGTGGGCCGAGGGCTGTCCCACGGAGCACACGTGTGTGTGTGTGGGGGGGGGGGCGTGTGTGTGTGTGTGTGCGTGTGTGTGTGTGTGTGTGCGTGCGTGTGTGAGCGTGCGTGTGTGCGCGTGCGTGTGTGTGTGTGCGTGCGTGTGTGTGTGTGCGTGTGTGTGTGTGCGTGCGTGTGTGAGCGTGTGTGTGTGACCTGGAAGAAGATCTCGGCGACGATGAGGACGATGACGAACCACTCCAGCATGTTGGAGTGGGACGTGTGCAGCTCGTTGGCGAGCATGTCGAAGAGCTCCTTGATGAGGTCGAGCCGCTTATTCAGCACGTCCACCCGCCGCTCGACCTGTCCACAGCTCGAGGCGTGAAGAGGCGCCGTTCACAGCCTAGGCCGCCGACCCACCGCAGTGCTCGGCCTCGAGGTACTTGGACACGCGCATGTAGATGCCCAGCCACTCGTCATCCTGAGGGAGAGTGAGGGAGAGTGCGGGAGAGTGGGGAAGGTGGCGGGAGGTGGCGGGAAGTGGCGGGAGGTGGCGGGAGGTGGCGGGAGGTGGCGGGAGGTGGCGGGAGATTGCGGGCCATCTCGGGTCCTCTCGGGTCCTCTCGTGCCCTCACCCTCTTTCGGGGTTCTCGACAGGACCCGTGTCTGATTTCTTCCTTTCTCTCTCACCTCCCAAAAGAAGTCTGGGTGCTCGAGCATGTCCGAGTGCAGGTTGATGGAGGCGCGGTCGACAAACAGCTGGC